CGGTGTCATTGACGGCGGCGGCGGCGGCGGCGAAGGCGGTTGCTTGCGATCAGCGGCGGCTCATTGGGACGGCGACAGGGGCCTGCAGCGACCCTCTGCGCACGCTCGCGCGCGTGCGCGCAGAGAGGCGGTGGAGCAGGAAATCAACCTGGCCATCCAGGACGCCCAGCCCGCTCGCTCGTACCAGTCTGGCGCCCGACGATGACGGTGACATCTGCTCTTCGCCCCTGGTGGCCTCTTGGAGGGTCGCCGTTGCCGCGGCCAGGCTCGCGTCGAGATTATGGTAGGAGCGTTTGCAAGTTGTGCTCTTCTGGCCTGACCGGACCCTCGGTGCTCCCTGGAGGCAGCTGTGCAGCATGTGTATATATATATATATACATATGTATATATGTATATACATATATACATATATGTATATACATACACACACATATACATAGATGTATTGGGATTCAGATCGAGTTGTACTGTTGCGTCGGGTGGCCTTGACGTCGGGTTTGCGCCCTCGTTGGGGAACCATTCGATCGCACGTGATAATGTTATCCGACCATTGTCAGTTATCTTTTTGGTGGTGTTCGGGTTTGTCGATTGCATTATGTATGTCAGCGTCGTCCTCACATTGGTGCAGCGATACGTCAGAGGAGTTAGTAGCAAGGTCGGCATGTTCGAGGCCGTTGTTCGATGTGTTCCCGTTGTATGCGATGCGGTGTACTTGTTACCCAGCACGCGCTTAAACCACTATTCTCCGTTATCAGTGTTGAGGCCTCGCATCAACATCGATTCGAGAGGCTTCTATCTATGTGCGGGTGTCCCGTCGCTCTGTGAGGATTCAGCAACCTACCCGTTTGTGCGGGTTGGCGCATTCTACAATGTATTTCAGCATGTTCGTGTGCATGGATCGCCGAGTCGGCACCACATCTCAGCGTCTCGCGCACGTAAGAGCGATGGCTCTCAGGATGTTCGATTGTAGTGACAAAGGTGGAGCTTCGGCAATCGAACAGCCTTCGTCGCCAGACTCGAACCACAGTCATTCGGTTCAAACCCAAAGGGCTCCACGGTGCAATACGGAGATTGACAGGGCCTTCCGAAACGGAACAAGTCTCTCGACGGGCGGGGGTCGACAAGCGATCTCTCAACTTCACCCCAGCTGCCTTCGGCAAGTCCCGCCACCGTGCCAGCCCAGCGTTCTGGGTGGCGGCTGTTCGAGGGGACAGGGGACTGCCGCCACGTGTGGCACCTTGTGTCTGCAGGCTGGGGAGGGCTGTGATACGGACGATCAGGATTATATTGATGGTGCGGATGGTGATGTTGATGCTGATGATGATGCTGTTGCTGATGCTGATAATGTTGATGATGGTGATGCCAAGTCAAGCCTGGCGCACAGACGGGGCATTGGCAAGATAAAAAGTTGTGCGTGTGGCAGAGAAATGCGGGCAGTGAGAAGGATACGAATTCACCTGCAAACGTATCGGCGCCACGCGGGAGGAGGGGGAGGAAGGGGGGGGCGGAGGGAGGAGGGAACGAAGAAGGGGGAGGGACCACCTCAGGACCACTGTTGTGGCAGAAGCTTGTAAACACAACAAGCCCAGTGTTGCTTCGGTCTGCCTCTCTTCCGGCATTGGCCCCAGACCCGAGGTAAATATGATCCGGGCTTGCAGGTGAGAACTCGCAGCGGGTGGTCTTGTGACAACCCTGCGATCTTGCTGTATAGCGAAGTCTGTCTCTCACAAAGCGCCTCACTGAGAGGGCGGGCTCGACATATGTTCAAAACTTGGTCGTTGGACACTCTCGACAAACATGAATGTGGAATGCGGCAAATACGCCTGAGACACTGCGCATTGAAATTGTCTAATCTCTTTTTGTCTGTTTTCAAAAGCCACAGTGTTTCTAAATTGTATAAAAGCTTTGGAAGCACAATCGCACTGTACAGCTCGAGCTTCCTAGATCTCGCAATGTTGGCGTGTGACCAACAACGTTGTAAAGCTGTGAACACACCGCGTGCCTCTCCGAGGCGCCGCGTTAGCTCCGGCTTGGCGGTGGCGTCTGCGTTTAGAAGACCACCTAAATAAACAACTTGCCGCGCAGGGGCCACTGGGGTGCCCGAGGGATTCTTGACAACCCCATTGTTCTGTATATTAATGGCCACCGTCTTGGCCCAATATAAATCGAGGCCGTATTTTTTTCCTTCGCAAATCACAGCGTCTAGCAACGTCTGCAATTTCTTGGCGCTGCTACTCGCAAGCATTAAATTCTGGTTCGACTACATCTGATGGTGATGGTGATGATAATAATGTTACTGTTGATGATGCTTATGGTAATGATGGCGATGATGATGATACTGATTCTGTTGTTGACAATTACGATGTTGATGATGCTGATGCTGATGATGAGGATGATGATGATGCTGGTGTTGACGATGCTGATGATGCTGATGGTGATGCTGATGCTGATGATGATGGTGATGATGGTGGTGGTGCTGCTGATGATGATGCTGGTGATGATACTAGTGACGAATATGGTGGTGCTTGTGGTAATGATGGTGAGGAGTTGGATGATGATGCTGGTGATGTTGATGACGAGGATGATGGTGTTGATGTTGATGGTGGTTGTGAGGATGATGGGGCTTGTTGGGGCCGTATTGGGATTGCTTTTGTTTTGGCCTCGTACGAGGCAGTCGTGGGGGTCCCTTGGCCCTTGGGGTTTTCTTGGACCGTCTTGGGGCACCCTTACGCCGTATTGGGGTTCTCTTGGGCAGTCGTGGGGGCATCCTGGCTGTATGGGTGGTGTCTGGGGGTCTTCGTGGGGCCGCTTTGGTGCCGCCTTTTGCTGTTCAGGGTCATTATAAGGCCGTCTTGAGTCCCACGGGAGGCCCCGTTGGGCTGCCTTGGGGCAGTCTTGCATGTTTCTTGGGCCATCGTGGAGTCCTCGTGGGCCATCTTGAGGTGACGGCAGCCCGAAACGGCGAGAATGTGTAAAGTGCCCAAACACTTAGCCAAAACCAATGGTCTGGGTTGGTTCGGGCTTGGTTGGAGGTCCTCGTGTGGTCCTTCTGGGCTCTCTTAGGGGCATCTTGAGCCGCCTTGAGGCAGTGTTCGGCCGCCGTGGGGTCATCCTGGGCCGTCTTCGAGGCATCTTGCGGCATCTTGGTTGCCTTGGTTGTCTGCACGGGCCGTCTGAGAATCTCGGGATACACATCCAGTGTTTTGAACGAGGGATCGTGGCTTGGGAGGCACTGGTGCGCGTGGGAGCAGCGCCTTGGAATGCGGGCCGTGCACGATCCTCGAGCGGGTGAGGTAGCAGCCGTGCGGGAAGTGCGCGATCCTCGAGCAGGCGTGCATGGAATGAGGATTCAGGCAATCTTCGATCGGTCACGCGTGGAAGGGCGGTTCGGGCAGTAGCCGCCATGCGGGAAGTGCAGAATCCTCGTTCGGGCGCGCATGGAATGCTGGTTCAGGTATTGGTTGCCATGCTGGAAGCGCACCGACCTCGAGCGGGCACGCGCGGAGAGCGGGATTCGGCAGCAGCTCCCATGCTGGTAAGTGAACCATCCCTGAGCGAGCACGAGGGAAGAGCCCTCGGAAATGGGGAGCGATGTATGCAACAGTCTGTTGGTAGAGGCGGGGGGCAGCCCCTCGGCAGAGCTCTAAAACCTACCAGGCAGACGTTGGCATTCTCCCACGTCCCAACATGCCAGGGGGGTACGGTGGCGGATGATTACAGTGGGGGCCCGTCTAAAGAAACCATATGTGTTTCGTCAGGGTATTCTCGGCTTCTTCGCTCCGCACGCTGCGCGATGACTTCCCGCAGCCGTGGAAGAAGCTGCTGCGTTCAAGGTGGTCCAGGTTTCTCTCGGGTGCACCTCTCGCGCGGGATTTCAGGGCTGGGTTTCTTGCGAGGTTTCTTGCGGCCGCGCCCGCACTGTACCACCGCTACCCGAATGCGTTGACGGTGCACCGACGCCGACCTTGGCCATGCCGGTGTTCGGCCCAGGATCGGCGTGTTCCGCCTGCGTGGCGGCGCCAGGAGGGCGCGTCCACCGATTCTCTGGTCAAGAGCTGGCCCTGCCAAGGCCAGTGGTGCGCGCAGGCGGCGCCCTGCGACCCTGTCCCCCCCTCTCAAAATCTCTCCCAGGAGCTCTCCTAGGAAACGGAGGGGGAAGAAGGGGGGACAGTGTAGGATATTGATGAGGAGGAGGAGGAGGATGATGATGATGGTGGTGGTGGTGATGATGATGCTGATGGTGGTGGTGGTGATGATGATGATGATGCTGATGATGATGAGGATGATATTAGGATGAGGATGAGGATGCTGATAATGATGACGATGATGATGATGATGAGGAGGAGGAGGAGGAGGAGCAGGAGGTCGACCATGACGATGCTGATGATGCTGCTGATGATGATGAGGCTGCTGATGCTGATGCTGCTGCTGATGATGCAGATGCTGATGCTGATGCTGATGCTGATGATGGTGATGATGATGCAGATGATGAGGAGGAGGAGGCGGAGGAGGAGGAGGAGGAGCCTCGTTAATTGGCCAGGTGGACGAGCAGGAGGGGGAGGGATGATCGGGGGGGTGGACCCATCCGCAGGGACCAAGGCCCATCGGCGAGCCCCTGAGAGTGGGCTGGAGCGCGCCAGAGCCCTCGGCCCACGAACGCATGGCGCGACCGCGGCGGCGGCGGGCCCCGGCGGGATCCTTAGACCTCCGCCAGGGCGCTCCGCCCCGGAGAGGCCCCTGCGGGGCCCCCGGATCCCTCCGCCCCCGAGGCGCCGCCTTCGCCCACGAGGCGCGATCCGCTCTGGCGGGCCCGAGCCCTTCTGGCCCGAGCCGTGCTCCGGCGCCGCCCCCGAGGAGGAGGAGGAGGAGGAGGAGGAGGAGGAGGGGGAGGAGGAGGAGGAGGAGGAGGAGGAGGAGGATGAGGAGGACGAGGAGGAGGAGGACGGAGCACGGCGCCACCGAGCTCCCCGGGCCGAGCTCCCCGCGGCGGGGCGCCGCCAATGGAGCACGGCGGCGACCGCGACGGCCTGCACGAGGAGCTGGCGGAGGACGCCGGCCACCGCTGGCGGCCCGCGGAGGACGGCGGCGCCGCGCCCTTCGCGGTGCTGCAGTGCCCGCCGCTGCCAGCCACGGACGTCACCACCCACCAAACCACCCCAACCCAACCCGAAGGCCCAAATTTATCCTCGATTTCCAGTGGGGGGGGGTCGGGGAACGTTAAAAAACACATGGTATCCGTACCCCCCCCAACCCGAAATTCGGGTCAAATTCGGGTCTTCGGGTTGGGTTGGGGTGGTCTGGTAGGTAAGTCAGGACGACGCGCGCTTGTCGCAGCACCGGGCCGTGCTGGGCCCCGCGGGGGGGTGGGAGAGAACGCTGGCGGCGTCCAGAGTCGGAGAGGAAGCAGATCGGGACGATCGAAATGGGTACGGGCAGAATGGGTACGATGCCCAACAGCAGGTCCTGTTCACTTCGAAAGGACTCGTTGCTCGCGCCGCCGCGGAAAGACAGAAAGACGCCTGCCCAACAGCGGCCGCTGTCCGTTTTGGACAACTTTTGTTGTTGGGCATTGTATCGTTTTTTGTCCGTACCCATTTCGGGCGTCGAGGACAAGTTGCATACACATCAAGTTGTGGAGGTCCGTGCGGTTTCTCGGATCGGCGCTGGAGCGCCCTGGTGGCGCCTCCGGCGCCGCCTCTGGCGCGATTCGCGCGCCAGGTATGGGGGTCCAGCGCCGATCCCAGAAAGCCGTGCGGACCTCCGATCTTTCATATGATGTGTTTGATGGTTCCTTTGCGCAAGAGGGTGGGGCGAGCCGAGGGGTTCCGCCTCTGAGAATGCGGGGGGGCTTCGACGGAGCCCGCCTGGCTCCTAGGACTCCTTAATATTCCGCGGCCTTCTAACAAGGCTCGCTGCCTTCTAAACAAACCCTGCCGTCTGCTCAGAAGTCCACGCCGCTCGCGCCGGCTTCTTGCGGGTGCCGCCAAGAGAAGTCAGTCAGGAACGACACATATATATATACACATACATACATACATACATACATACATACATACATACATACATACATACATACAAATATATACATATACAAATACATATACATATACATATATACATATATATATATATATATATATATATATATATATATATCCCTGGGGGCGAGGCCGGGGGGCCCAGGACAGGTGCCTCGACCCCCCATGGCGGGACGGGGGGGGCCTGGAGCCTCCCTGGAGCAGCCCAGGCGGCCCAAGAGTGCCCCAAGAGCGCTCCACGACAGGCCCAGCAGGCTACAAGAGGCCCAAGATCCGAGGGCGCCAAGAGGGCCCCAAGATGCCCAAGATAAGCCCAAGACGGCCAAAGAGGCCCCCAAGACGCTCCAAGAGGACTCCAAGAGGCCCTCCCAGAGGGCCCCAAGAGGCCAAAATCGTTAATTTTACAAGGTTTTGGACACATTTTGCCCTTCCCGCCTTTTCAGCTTTCCGACGCTCCGATGGCTCAAAGGCCCCCCGCGGACGTCCCAAGACAGCCCAAGAGGCCTCCAAGAGGGCCTCAAAACGGCTCTGCAGGCCCCAAGACGGCCCAAGACGCGCCCAAGACGGGCGAAGAGAGGCCCAAGACGGCCCCAAGAGGGCCTAACAGAGGAACCGCGAACCGGAAATTCGAGCCTCCCGCCTCCACAGGGCCCCGGGAGGCCCCAAAGGGGCCCCAAGAGGCCCCAGGAGACCCCCAAGAGGCACCCAGGAACCCCAACGAGGCTTCAAGAGGCTCCCAAACAGCCCCAAGGAACCTCACAACGGACGGCGCGGACGAGCCGCATTTCGGACCGCCGCCGCCGCTAGTCCTAGAAAACGGCCTCATGGACGCCATGCGCGCCGTGGCCCTCCTGCGGTGGCACCTCCCGCCCCGGGCCAGCGCAGAGGCCCTCGGATCCCAGAGAGAATTCTCCATCGTCGGCGGTGTCGCCGTCGCCGGCGTCGTCGTCGTCGACGCCGTCCCCGCCCCGGTCGCCCCTCGGGACCGCGCTCGCCCCATCGACTTCTCGGCTCGCCTCCCGCTGATGTTCTTGTCGCCCTTCGACTTTCGGAGGCTCCTCCCGGGGTCCTGGGTCCAGTGCTCCGGCCTCCTCCCTTCGGCGAGGCCGCGCCGGCTCGAGCCGCGTCGGCGAGACAGCTCCAAGATAGCCGAAGAGGCTTCCAAGAGGGCCCTGGGCGGCCCACGAGGGCCCCAAGGCGGTGCCTGAGGCGCCCAAGACGGCCCGAGAGGGCCCCAAGACGGCCCCAAGAGAGGCCCAAGAAGGGAAACACGAACCGAGAATCCGAGCTTTCTACCCCGAGAGGTTCTCGGGAAGTCCCAAGAGGCCCCCAATCGGATCCAAGAGGCCCCCAAGAAGCTCCCAAGAGGGCCGACGAGGTTCCAAGAGATCTCCCAAGGTGGCCCCAAGAGGCACAACTCATTGTGTTACGATTGGGCTTTGACGGCTTTTAATTGTTTCTGCCTTTTGGCATCCCGATGCTCCAAGACGGCCCAAGAGGCTTCCAATACCGCTCCCATATAGAGGAAGAGGCCTCCAAGAGGGCCCCAGGACGGCCCGCGAGGGCCCCAAGACGGTGCTTGAGGCGTCCAAGACGGCCCGAGAGGGCCCCAAGAGCCCCAAGAGAGGCCCAAGAAGGGGAACGCGACCCAACAGCAGAGCGGCCCCCCCACAAGGCCCACAGGAGGACGCAAGAAGCCCCCAAGTGGTCCGACGAGGACCCCAAAAGCTTCCCGAGGGCCCGAAAGGCCCCTAGGAGACGTCCAAGAGGCTCTAAAATTGCCCAAGAGTGCCCTCGATGCGTTAAAACTGCTACTAGGAGGCCCCCGGGAGGCATCCGGATTGCTTCAATATGGCCGCAGGTGGCCTCTAGTCGGGCCTCCACGCAGCCAAGACGCCCAATGACGGCTTCAGATTGCAGAACCGATGCCTCCACGGGACCCTCAGACGCCCTCCCAAGAAGCACCCAAGAGGTGCCTCCAACAGCCAGTTGACGAAGCATGCGGAACACCCCAGAAGCTCCTCAGACGCCGTCGCGCGCCTGTGCCTGACAGCGTTGTCCAAGATCGTCCAGCGCCCCCCCCGGCCTGGGCTAGAACCTGAGCGCGCGCGAAGCGCGCGCGATGGATCTAGCCCCGGGGCCTCGAAAACAGCTGCCCGAACCTCCATGGGAGTACCGGGGCTCATTTTCGCAGTGTTTTTTTTTCGGGGTTTCGGCGTCCCGGGCCTCGGAGGCCGTCGCGATTGTCCCGGACATTTTCCAGATCTTCGGCGCGGGCTCCAAGACCATTCCGCAGAGGGTTCCAACAGGCTCCAGGGCAGCCCAAGAGGGCTCCAAGACGGCTCCAGAAACGACTCCAGGGCCTCTTTTTTTCTGGTGTTTTCTGCAAGACGGCTCCAGGAATACTGCATGTCTTTTGAGGATGGCTTCCGCCTCTTGCCCCGAGCATCCCAAACTGCCTGAACGATTCCAATTCGCCTTCCCCAAACCCAGCGCTTGCCCAAACACGTTCCGGACGGTCTTCGCTGGAACGCGCTGGAATGATCACGTGTTGCGGTTTCCCATGCCAGCGTCCTCGGACGTGGGCGCCCTGCCACGAGCGCGTTCCGGGAAGATGTTCCCGGAACGAGCTGAAAAGATATGGCCACATGTCGGGGGCGCTCCCGGCACCGCTGCCCCAGCCTGTTCTGGCAGCCCCCACAGCGCTCCAGGAGGGCCCAAGACGCCCCCCAGGAGCCCCCAGAATGCGAAAAGATGGCCCAAAACGCTCCCGAGCAGCCCAAGTCAGCCTTCCGACGGCTCTCGAGGCTCCCAGGTGGCCTCCAAGAGACCCCAAGAAGTCTGATAGGTATCACGGTACGGCCCGAAAAGGCCACAGTCGTATATGTTCAATGGTCTTTTCAATGTTTTTGGCTTCTCGCTTTTTCGAGCTTCCAACGGTCCAAGAGTGCCGAAAAGCCTCCATGGGGTACCGGGGCTCATTTGCCCTACATTTTTTTTTTAAGGGTTTCCGCGTCCTGGGCCTCGGAGGCCGCCGCCTTCGACCCCCCATGGGAGGACGGGGCGGCCGGGGAGGTCCAAAATAGTCCAGGAGGGCCTCCAGAGGCTCCCAAGACGGCCCAAGCGGGCCCCGAGTCGCCGAAAGACCGCTCCAGGACACCCAAGATGGGCCCAAGTCGGCCCGAGAGGCCACCCGAGGCACTCCACGACGCTTCAAGAGGCCGAAATCGTCAACTGCACGAAGGTTTTCGAAAGATTTTGGCCTTCCAGCTTCTTCGGCTGTCCGACGTTCCAAGACGGCTCCATAGGCCACCAAGAGCGCCCCAAGACAGCCCAAGAGGGCCCCGAGACGGCCCCAGAGTCGCCCAAGACAGCCCAACAGAGCCCCAAGACGGCCCCAAGATGCGCCCAAGAGGGTGACCACGACTCCAAAATTCGACCCTCCCGCTTGAAGAGTGCCCCAGGACGCCCCAAGGAGCCCCCAAGAGGCCCCAGGAGGCCCCCAAGAGGCACCCAGGAGGCCCAAACGAGGCCTAAAGAGGCTACAAAACAGCCCCGAGGAGGCCCCACAACGGTCCCAAAACGGCTACCGAGAAGCTGCGAAATTGCCTTCACGACGTCCCCGACAGGCCAACCACGAGATCCAAACCAACACCCATGAGGCCTCTGACCCACCACCCAGGGCACGGTGGCGGGAGCAGTGACAGCACTTGTGCACAGCACGTTCCGGCGGGAGCCTTCCGGAACACGCTGCAGGAGGAGAAGGAAGACCGGAGGAGGAGAGAGAGCTGGAGTGGGAGGAGGAGGAGGGGGGACGAGGAGGAGGAAGAGGCCTCCCAGACAGCTCCAAGATAGCCGAAGAGGCTTCCAAGAGGGCCCTGGGCGGCCCACGAGGGCCCCAAGGCGGTGCCTGAGGCGCCCAAGACGGCCCGAGAGGGCCCCAAGACGGCCCCAAGAGAGGCCCAAGAAGGGAAACACGAACCGAGAATCCGAGCTTTCTACCCCGAGAGGTTCTCGGGAAGCCCCAAGAGGCCCCCAATCGGATCCAAGAGGCCCCCAAGAAGCTCCCAAGAGGGCCGACGAGGTCCCAAGAGATCTCCCAAGGTGGCCCCAAGAGGCACAACTCATTGTTTTACGATTGGGCTTTGACGGATTTTAATTGTTTCTGCCTTTTTGCATCCCGATGCTCCAAGACGGCCCAAGAGGCTTCCAATACCGCTTCCATATAGAGGAAGAGGCCTCCAAGAGGGCCCCAGGACGGCCCGCGAGGGCCCCAAGACGGTGCTTCAGGCGCCCAAGACGGCCCGAGAGGGCCCCAAGAGCCCCAAGAGAGGCCCAAGAAGGGGAACGCGACCCAACAGCAGAGCGGCCCCCCCACAAGGCCCACAGGAGAACGCAAGAAGCCCCCAAGTGGTCCGACGAGGACCCCAAAAGCTTCCCGAGGGCCCGAAAGGCCCCTAGGAGACGTCCAAGAGGCTCTAAAATTGCCCAAGAGTGTCCTCGATGCGTCAAAACTGCTTCCAGGAGGCCCCCGGGAGGCATCCGGATTGCCTCAATCTGGCCGCAGGTGGCCTCAAGTCGGGCCTCCACGCAGCCAAGACGGCCAATGACGGCTTCAGATTGCAGAACCGATGCCCTCAAGGGGACCCTCAGACGCCCCCCCAAGAAGCACCCAAGAGGTGCCTCCAGCAGCCAGTTGACGAAGCATGCGGAACACCCCAGAAGCTCCTCAGATGCCGTCGTGCGCCTGTGCTTGATAGCGTTGCCCAAGATCGTCCAGCGCCCCCCCCGGCCTGGGCTAGAACCTGAGCGCGCGCGAAGCGCGCGCGATGTTTCTAGTACACATATAGATATACATAGATATGTATATATCAAGTTACAGGTACATAGATATTCGTGGGTTTCGGAGGTGTGCGTTGCGTGATCATCTGTAACACGAAGCTGGCCCCACGGACGCGGTGGCTGTACCGAAGGGGACTGGACGATCGGGAGCAACAGTTCTTTGCGGTCTTGCCAGGGGTTCGTTTTCCGTCTCGACGTTGGCGCCCGCTTGAGACGAAGATCACCCGCCCAGAGCGGTCTCTGTTGGTTTCAAGCAGCGTTTGATGTTGGGAGTCGTCTCCACAAGCTCCATCCCCGCTTCCGGGCGTGCCGAGAAGCTGGCGCGATGAGGTTCAGGCAGTGTAGAGGCATCTATATATACACACATATACACATATATAGATACACGTATCTTGGTATCGCTCGGACGTGTGCTTTTTCTTCGGCAAGGACCTTCTCCACGCCCTGCTCCTGCTCCTCCTTCCCCTCATCATCCTGCTCCTGCTCCCTCCTCGTCGTCGCTGCCGCCGTCGTAGACGTTCCCGTCACCGTCGTCGTCCCCCTCGTCGCCGTCGTCGTCCTCCTCGTCGCCGTCGTCGTCCTCCTCGTCGCCGTCGCCGCCCCCATTGCCGTCATCGTCGCCGTCGCCGCCGTCGTCGTCATTGTCGCCGCCGTAGTCGCCGTTCTCGCAAGGCGTGGCGGCCAACCTGCTGGGTGTCGGCGTCCTCGCGATGCCGCGGGCGATGGCGCAGGCGGGGCTGCTGACGGGACTGGCAGTCGCACTGGCGATGGCCGCCGTCATGAAGGAGACCCGCATGGGGAGGGGGGTGATGATGCTCGAGGATCGAGACTTGGTGGCAGCAGGGGGATCGAGGTTCCAGATGGCCGTCGTCATTGGGAGACCAGCAGGGCCAGGAGGATCGAGGTTCGAGGATCGAGATGTTTGGGCAGCGGGAGGATCGAGAGTCGGGGTTCCAGGATACTCCGTCTGACATGTGTGGTTCTTTTTTGAGGTGGAAGCGAAGGTTCCCACAGACCTCTCACTGTTAATGTCTCTCCGTGAGGCCCGTTGCGAGCGGCGGCATCCAGGTCGAAAGTTGGTGCCGCAGGTCATGCGATCGCCGCTGGCGCAGCAATCCCGTACCTTCGACTTCTTCGTAGATGCAACACTGCTTATCAGCAGGGTAGGACTCTCTGCCAGAGGGTCGACCGACTTTATGACAGTTCCAGAGACATTCCGGGACTTCTCCCTGGAGTCCTTCAAGGGAGGAGGACGGATGAGGGGGATGAGGACGGAGATGATGAGCCTGCTTTTCAAGAGTGTTAAGCAGGAGCCATCCAGACTTGTAGGCATATCCTGTCTGCTTGAACCCTCGACTTGAATTTTGAGTGTTGACGTCCTGGTGTTATTTCGGGGGTCTCCTAGAATGGTAGGGGCGGGGGTGGGGGGAGAAGCAGCAGGGGTGAGGTTCGACGTCTCCTGCGTTTCTGGACCTCTTTGGAGGGACTGGCCGCCGAGGCTGGGTTCACCTCGGATTCCTTGTCGGAGCGTGCTCGAAGAACACAGGGTTGGGCGATCGATATTTGGGGGAGGGCAGCTGGATGGAGGGAAGAGGTAGGGGGGGAATGTACCCTTTCATTCCAGAGTCAGGAGGGGGAGGAATAAGCAAGACCATGAGAGAGGAGGCAGTGTGGGCGCGATACTGGGAAGGGTTCGGGGAGGGAAAGGAAGGACGAGGAGAAGGAGGAGATCCGTGCTCCCTCCTCCCTCCCGTGCTCTTCCTGGCTCCCTCCTCGGGTTTTGGAGGCGGAGGAGACGAGCTTTTGGAGGCCCCCTGGAGTTATTGTTGCTTGATTGCGCTTGTTTCAGGCACACCTGAGTTCGCTTGCGGATTTTGTCAAAGTCTAGCCGCTGGAAGGGGCAGGAGAGGAGGATGAGGAGGATGATGATGAGGAGGAGGAGGAGGAGGAGGAGGAGGAGGAGGAGGAGAAGGAGAAGGAGGAGGAGGAGAAGGAATACGGGAGGGGACGGAGGGAGAGAAACAACGGAGCGGAGCAGGAGTAAGCGGAGAGAGTGTTTTCAAAAAGGAGGCGCATGAGGAGGAGGAGGAGGAGGAGGAGGAGGAGGAGGAGGAGGAGGAGGAGGAGGAGTAGGAGGAACAGTCGCGTGTCGTATCGCGTGAGATGAGGGCAGGGAGGAGATCGACCATGAGGAGTGATGAGAAGGACGAGGGAAGAGGGATCAAGGATGAGTGGGAAGAACAGGGATGCATGAAGGAGGGCCATGAGGGGGAGCCCTGTCCCAGAGGAGACCCTCCAGATGCTGCTAGTGGCGGCCGAGGCCGAGTCCTGCTCTGGCCGGTTGTCCTATCCCGAGCTCGCCAAGAGCGCCCTGGGGCCGCAGGACGCGCGCGTCTTCCTTAGGATGAGGGATAAGACCATGAGATTGGAGGAGGAGGGGGAGGAGGAGGGGGAGGAGGGGAAGGAGGAGAAGGAAGGGGAGTGGGAGGAGGAGGAGAAGAGGGAGGAAGAGGAGAAGGAGGAGGAGGAGGAGAAGGAGGAGGACGAGAAGGAGGAGGAGGAGGAGGAGGAGGACGAGGAACAGCAGGAGAAGAGGGAGCACTAGGTGGAGGAGGGGGAGGAGGAGGGAACCGCTTGCCCGAGATTTTTGGCAGAAGGGCAAGCGTTCCTCTTCCGGACAGCGGCCATGCGCGCAGCCCGTCCTCCCCACGGGTGACCGCGATCATACCTAGACATGTATGAAAATAGCGACCTTGCGACGGCAACAACAAATATGAAGCATCCAGCAGTAAGTCTGAGCGTCGTCGTGTACGTGACCGTCGTGCTCAAATTATACGATCGCAGAAAGGCACAGCAGAGCTCACATGTTTTCTTGCGAGTGGGTGGCGCACAAACTTTCTGCGGTATCCCGCACACGTCTCAAACACAGGATTCGGATCCACAGTGCAATTCTCTGTATGCTGTTCGGCTGCTTCCCCCGATGATCCCCAGCATTTCCATGAACAGGTTGACAGAAGAGTTGGTGCCTACCGCGGCTATGCAACTACGCATGCATACCCTTGTCCGCCTCCAGAGCACACGCCTACAAGCGAGCCGGCAGAAACACCACTATCAGACAACGTGTTTCCGGTGGCAGCAGTGATATTTCCAAAATATTGAAAACAGTACGTACGACGCTGGTTTGCCAATGTATGAGGAGTTTCCTGCAGCTGGCGGGACTGAGGACAATGGAGAAGACATGGAACTAGTGGCAAACATGCCATATGTTGCAACAAGGGCTCCCCCGAGGGCGCGAAGTTATTCGCGCTTCGCGGTCCTCGTTTCTCCTCCCCCTCCTCCTCGTCCTCCTTTTCTCCCTTTGGGGGGGCGGCGCGAGGGCGCGAAGTTATTCGCGCTTCGCGGAGCGCGAAGCGCGAAGTTGGGAGCCCTAGTTGCAACATGAGTTGCGGACAGGACTGACGTGTCTCCCTCATCAGGGGCGTCCGCTCCGCGCTGGACAGCCGCCGTGACATCATCGAACGCATCGGTCCTCGAACGTAAGGGCACGGGCCGCGGAAAAGGCTGCCGCGGGTTTGGCCGCAACGGCAACCCTCTGGGCCCTGACGGGGCATGTCCCGAGTGCCACGAGTGCGACTCAAAGGAACACCTCGTGCGCGATTGCCCCCCTCGGCGCCAGCAAGGGCGCGCCCTCTTCTCCACGCCCAAGCCTCAGCAGCAGCACCACCACCACCTGCGCCAGTGCCCCACCACTCACGCACCTGGGACACCACGGAGCAACGCGACCTGCCGCTCCACACGCAGCACCTGGTGCCTATCCGGTGTGGGTGACCAGGGGAAACGCGGTGGGCGCCTGAATCTGTGGTTCTGGGGCCCGATAGCGGTGACCCCCATGCAGAGCGCCGATCCTTGGGACGGCGGCCGACCGACTCCAGTTTCGGCAACTACGCGGCCAGCAGAAGCGCCAGCATCGACAGCAGCAGCCCCCAGCGTGCGCCCGGCGGCTCCTGGCAGACAGTTGGCCATAGCAGTTTGTTAAGCTGGGTGGGTACTTCGTCGCCAAACTTCGGCGACTACGCCCGGGAGGTCGACGACACTACGGTCCGCGTACATCAGAATTTTGCTTGACCGACGGGTAGAGCAATTATGTTGGCAGTCCGCGCGGCAGGAGTGGGGAACGCTGCAATTACAAGACAGCTCCAGCAGCATCAGGAGCACCACCAGCATCGGAAGCACCGCCAGCGCTGGGCCGCAGAGGCGGCGCTTTCGCGCTGCAGCCAAAGCGCGAGCGCATCTGGGCAACCGACGTCCATGCCCGAGTTGCGGTGCCAGCTGCCCCACCTACCGACGTGCAGATGCCAAGGTGGACACACATGCCATCAATTCCTCTTCAACCAGCATGTCCTCATGGACCCGGACCAGCCAGCGGGGAGAGTGGCTATATGGTTTGCTGGCCGCGACACCTGGATGTCCATTGGCGTGCGATCCGAACGCGGAGCAGGCCCCGCGCTCGACCGCGCACGACGACGACGCATCCACGAGCCCCGCCGCACCCAGCTTGCACTTGAGATCTTACGACAACAGGACGAGCAGCAACGACGAGCCGCACAGGGTTGGACAGAAACCCTTACTAATCCAACTGCGCCGGCTGCCGCACCAGCTTCGCCCCGCGTCTCGGACGTCAAGGAATGTCCCGTGCGCGTCAAAGCTTTTTTTGCACGGTGATCATGTTGCGCGACCGCTGCCCCGCCGCATCTTGCATTGGGCACGCTACCTGCAGCTTTTGCGAAACAGCGACGCCCATTTGGTGTGCTGCCTTGCGCGCCAGTGCCCGGCAGACGTCATCGATGAGTTCCGCTTCGTTGACGCGGGGCGCGCCGGCGAGGCCTTGCAACTGCGTTGCCGGCCCGCGCGGCAGATCTTGGCACTTCGGGGCCAACGCCTGCGGCGCCGGCCCAGCCGATGCCAGCGTTCCCGAGGAGACCGTCAAAGCGCGGCGCCGCCCGGAGTCCTCGGTCCGCGCCGACGCCCTGGATTTCTTGGCTGGATCTAGTGCGGCCCCCTGGCAGTTCCAGTTTAGCGTTCGCAACCGACGCGGCAGTGCCGTGCGACGCCCGTTTGAACCTGCATGCTTCGCCGCGCCGACCGACGTCCCCGCGGTGGCTAACCTCGCGAGGTACACGCCCGAGCCCACCGAACGCCTCGCCATATTATTTGGCGAGCGCCGACCTCCCGGGCGGCCGGCTTCGCATCGCGGTGAATATTGGGGCCTGGGCCAATCTTCGGGGGCAGCATTTCGCGATGAACCTGGCCGACGAAGCGACGCAGGCGAGGCTTCCGCCCGCGCGGGAGAGGCCGACGTCTCCATTCTACGTGGCAGGCATTGGCGAACGGCTAACAGGTCGCTCATTGCGAGCTTCACCGCTGCCATATTGCGGTTGCATCCCGCGTTGGCGAGTTCAACCAGCGCAGCGCGCGTGCTCCTACAGTGGAGGGTGACGGCGTCGATCCCCGCGGTCCAACATTGGGATGGCGTAGACAGGCGCGTTGTACGAACGCGTCGCGCTTCCTGGTCCTGGAGGCTGCGACATCCATTGGGGCCCAGGCACCATGCGCCTCGACGTGGAGTCGGTCGGCTCCAGGTGACCACCCACGCGAGCCATTCGACTATTCTCCACCAACTGCAACCCCAGTGCGGGGGGCGCCTTATGCACCAGGCTATGACCTATCGGCCTGCGCGGACGTCAGCGTCGCGACTTGTGGTCGCGAATGGGTTTCCACGGGCGTGGCCGCCCATGCGCCGCTGGGCTCTTGCCTGCAGATCGCCCCGTGCTCAGGACTAGCTTTCAAGGGCGTCGACGTCTTCGGCCCAGTGATGGCCCCCGATTACCGCGGCGAGATCATTGTGATCATGCGCAACGCTAGCCCGCGGGCGTTCGTGGTCAAGCAGGGCCCGAGGATCGCCCGACTCATCCTGGGGCGCATCATCGCGAATTCTTAGACCGTGTTCGTCACCGACCTTCCATTGCCTTCCCGCGGCTCTGGGGGCTTCGGTCTCACTGGCATGGCGCCGCTCTGCTGCGACGCTATCCGCGAGCATTCGGCGCTGCAGCGCGAATCGGGTCCGAGGGTACTTATGTTAGGAGGAAGATGGGCCAGTCCGCAAGGCTGGCCCAGTCGACCTGCCCCGGCAGAGGTGGGAAGCAAGACCAGGCCAGCCCGCCCGGGCACTCGAGGTAGGAAGGCGCGCATCACCAGCTTTGCAGGAGCACGGCTACGACGTCACACCACGTCAGATTTCCGCGCCAGCGCCATTCGGGCTCTGTCCGGCGACGCGATTCCCAGCAACAGCTATTGCGCGCTGCGGATCGCGTGCGACGCGAGCCAGGACGGAGCGACCTGCGTTCTTTACCCCCTTCCCAATTGGCGCGCCATGGATTCTGGCACGGGCCCGAGTGGCGACGCGCAGCCATGGGGCAAGTCACCGTCACCAACGTCTTATACCACAGCAATCATTCAGCTTGCCACATGCTTTTCGCCCCAGAGGCAAAGCACGCTGGCATATCATTTACGACATCGCCGGGGCGTCTATTTCCAATCAGTTGCGCCGTTGCGACACCGTTTTGAAGGGGCGCCGCGACGACTGGACAATTGCGATCTGGCATTAAATATCTGGTCGTGACGCGCGGCGACGCGATGCGTCTTGCGCCCCGCTGCCATAGTGCCCGAACTATAAGCAGCGCAACCTGGGGCGCCTTCGGCGAGGCGCAGCAGAGCTTTGACGCCGGACTCGAAGGCTACTTCTCGCCCCGTCGCGACTGGCGAGGGCTACGCCGACGGCGCACTCAGGACCACAGGGTAATATCATCGAGAACGGTCTGTCTGTGGGACTGCGCCTGCACCGACGTGTCCCGCGGCGACTGGCGCGCGCGACATCGCGAGGCGCCCTGCACGAACGTCCAGCATGACGGTCTGGGCCACAAGCACGAACAAGCACTACGGGCGTCCGACGACGGCGTTGTTGGAATTCACCCTATTGCAGAGCGCGCGCGAGAAAGTAAAGGTAAATGAGGGCCGCGCGCCCAAAGCACACGCGCAGGTCGTAGAGGGCCAACGCGACGATTGCGGCGCCAACCTCGCAGGTCTGGGCCCACGTCTTCATGGCTTCCCGGCCGCTGGCGAACCAGGCCAAACCGACGAGTTCGACGTGGGCGAATCCCACGGCCGGTTGGCCTCAGGCTTCCCGACATGGTGGTTCCGCGGCTCGTCGGCCCCGGCATCGGCTACTGGGATGTTCGCATGTGTTTCCGGGGATGCCCCAGCGCCAGATCATGCAATGTTCGCAGGTCTTTCCGGGGAGGCCCCGGCGCAAGGTAATGTCGCGGTCTC